ATTTAATTAACGTAAAACATCACTGAAAAATGCAAAAATCTATGCATGTTATAAATATACTATTTTATTAAGAACCATATTATTAGTTGATATTTAATTTAAATTTTATGGAAAGCTTTCCACAAATGTTAGCAAAAATTGCACTCAATTTCCTTTAATATTTAAATATTGATTCGTTTTTTTATTACTATTTCTTAGAATTTTCTTGTTATATCTAAAAACGTCATTAAAAACCATAAATGTAAACACATTTTTATAACTTCCTCAATTAAAACTATTAAATAATAATAATTACCATATATATAATTGTGTAATTGGATTCGGTAAAAAGCCATTATCTTCCGAAAAATTTAATTGTTGTTTTATAGCCAATTTGCTTATTTCTGCGTTACAAGATCTGTTGAAATTAGAATCGGCAAGAAATGCTCCTAATAACCGTACAATATTGGAAAGTTTTATACATACGTATACCTGCAGCTTTACAAATTATTAATTCTTATTCAAAAGACACTTAATAAGTACCCGTATTACTCGCTATTTGTTCTAGAAAGCAATATTTCATGAGTTTATTACGAAATACTTCGCAACCATTTAACACAAATTTTGCCTAATAATACAAATTGAAAAGGCAAGTCAAAATTCCACTTTTTCTTTCCAAAAGGCTTCAAGGATAACAAAGTAATTATGTCAACAAAGCGATATAGATTGTATTGTAGATTGTTTGTTACAGCCCCCCTGTTAGCCCTGGGCCCCATACACATGAAGGCCCATTCATTATAAGACAAAATTAATATAATACTGAAAGTTTAAATCCTAGATTTCGGCACCTATTTTATAGTATTCTTTTATATTACTGATATTTAGTTACAAAACAGACACTACTATAATTATTTCACTTCCGTACAGAGACGTAACTACGGGTGGACTTGGGTGAGCCAAGACCCATGCTTTGAAAGTTCTAGCCCATGTGCTGACTCAGCCTAGGTATTTACTCGATATAACGTATTTAAAACCGCAAAAATTCAATTTCACACAACCGAAAGTGCTTTACCAAATACGTATTTTACGTGGTGTTTTTATTTAATGATGCAAATATATCTATTTTTGCTACTTTTCTCTTGTTAAACATTATTACGAAATTACTTAGTCAAGAAAAATTCACTTCCTGACCAAAAGATATAAAGGAAAATTGCAGAACTCAAGTTATGTGAGATGAGATTTTATATGCATTTACTTCGAGTTATCATTTTAACGAAAAAAAATCGATAATAATGTGGCCACCCTTGGCCCATGTAAAAGAAAACGGTGACTACGTTTCTGCTTCCGTATATTATAAAAAAATATTTATAGGAATTTTGCTTTTAATGGTAACAACGACAAGCCTGACAAGTTTCTCTTTAGTTTGTCATTAACTTGTCCGGTGCATATATCATTTATTTATTTATTTTCTTTCCTAATATCATTCACGATTGTAGACCACTTTCACCACCGTTATTTTTTATTATTCTCTGATCCTGATATAATAATTGCAATTTCTTACTCATGGTGTCCATGTGTGTGAATGGCCTGCAACCATTTGTTTGTGTATTTCATTTAATATAAAAAAAAATGTTGTAAACCATATTATTATTATTATTAGTACGTGTTCAGTATCATAATTCATAAATGTGGAGGGCAAGAGTGCATTTTAACACCATTTATGTAAGTCTTCCTGTACTTTTATTATTAGTGAGTAACAAAGTTACACTCATATGTAGGTGTTACATAAAAAGTTGTTAAAATTACAATGCAGATTAGCTTCCTGGTGTAAAATTAAAGTAATTGTCTGTAGATGCTGGCTTGATCTGGTAAAGTACTTTTGAACGTGTTACGTAGAACATTTTAAATTACTTTACCGAAAGAAATTCCACAAAAATTTCACCAAGAGAGCAATATGCTAAGTGTGGACTCTGCAAGTAATGAAGGAAGTGTTTTTGTAAATGTTTTTTTTTATCGTTGCACTTCCTATATTATCGGATATTAAGTTGCTGAATTGTTTTTGTACAGTATTTAAATAATATACCTAATAAAATATATATTCCTTCATCCAAGTAGTTGACACGGTCACTTACTAGGTGATTTAAGTGTATGATTACTTTTGAACACAAACACAAATCATTTTGAAGTTTTTCATAGTGTGGATATTGCGTCCAACTTTTGTATCCAAATGATAGTCTAATTTTCTATTATTTTAAAATTTAGAAATTTTTTGTCTTGTGATTTGTTTTATTTTTTCATTGTGTTATTGCTAGTAAATTGACTCTGATCGATTTTCTATAATAGCATGGGGTTAACCTTGGTATAACTTATTTTTATTTACCCCTTTAATGGTTATAACAAACCTATTTCAGCTGTGAGCATGTCTGAAATCCCGGTCAAAACTAATACTTATTGTATATAACGAAATCTTCATTCATTTTGCAATAAACAGATAAAGTAATATTTTATTTTTGCTATATACATAATTTTATACTTTTTTTATATATA